ATAATGCGGGTGGCACGTCACGTGGCTTTCTAGGCCACTACTGTTTCACACTGTTCAACTTTGCTTCCGTCCGTCCGATCAAACTCTCTCATCTCCGTTCATTATCTGGCGGTAAAATCGCATCCCGCTTCCACGCCCCCAGCACAGAAATCGTACCACTGTGTAAACGAGTGAGGTGGTCTGGTTTATGGGCAAGTGAACAGTGAGGATGTCTTGCAATAGTGACAAACTTCCAGCACAGTACCCGAACGACAGTCAACGCCCATCAACGGTAGCAATCCCACCATGAAGAGTTGCCACAGAACAAAATCGCACAGTAAACGATAGTTCGCGATAGTTCACGACAGTTTGCAGGCAGTACACCACACGAAAAAACTGGTCGCGCTATGTCCCTTGTGAACGACCGTTTACGATGCGGATTTCAACCCCAGAACAGACCCCCCCCCCTCTCAGACCCGCATTTTCACATTTTTGCGATGGGAGAGGGGGGCGGGGGGAAGGGGGTGTTGGAGGGTTGTGAAATATGGAGAAACTTGGCAAGCGGCGAGGAGATAATGTGAAAAGGGGGTGGGCGGGAATGGGGGGGAGAGGCGAGGGCTGGCCGTGGGCAGCTGCGCGGCAGTTGCGCGTAGGCGGCAGGCTTGGCGGCAGTTGCGCGGAGGCGACAGGCTCGGCGGCAGTTGCGCGGAGGCGGCAGGCTTGGCGGCAGTTGCGCGGAGGCGGCAGGCTTGGCGGCAAACGCGCGGACCCGCCTGGAGAGGCTCGCGGAGCGGACCCTCTTGGCGGACTACACGATGCGCTGCCTACCGATGCGCTGCCTGCCGATACGCTGCCTGCCGATGGCGGACGGCCGGCGCTCGCCGTGCGTTAGAAAGTTCTTTACCGGTCGAAACTACGACTCGTGCACGTCTTAGGCGACTCAAAGTGCGAGGTCGCAGCGACGGGGAGCTTTTCCGCGCCAAGGTCGCAAGAAAATCGGTACCTTGAGCTGCGAGGCTGGCGCATGTCGGCACGCCGGCGTTGGCGACAGCGACGAACGAGTTGAAATGCGCGGTTACCACTAGGAGGCGAAGAACGACGACATCCCAAAATTCAGAACGCCGAAATCACTTTGAGAATGATGGTGACCCCAGAGTCACCCTCACGGGGAGACCCACAAGTTCACTCGGTGTTACCTACGGCCTACCCTCAGACACGGGCGACGTCAGCGACGACCGCACCCCTTAGCGCCCACAGTGGTAACATGACGTTCGACCAATCGGAACGGTTTACAGTTCGTGGGGAGACCCCGAGGTTACCCCAACGTTGGCGGGAATGTCACTGGCTGTTTATTTTGGCGCTTCTTTGCTTCTCCCGAGGCTGCGACGTTCGGGAATTCCAAACCTGTGATATGTTGATCTCGATACAAATGCTACTGGTATTGACAACTATATTTTGTTCAGTACTGCAAGGTGTATTACATCCTATTTTGGGACACTTGCAATGATAAGAGTCACGCTCCAACATGACCACAGAATATCTGGCACTAAACATATCGGAACGCCAGCCTGTGAATACACACACTTCTCGCAAGCCTAGTGTACCTAACTATCTCATATTATTCCAAAGCAATCACAAAATATATTTCATAAACCCAGCGCAACGGTGGCCAAGGGAATATAACAACTGCACATTTCAAACACCACCATGTCGCACCCCCTCGGCCCACTTGTTCAACAACCAGGTCCTTGTTCGGGCAAACGACCTCACGATGTGCACAACACGCCTAAGGTGGGCTATCGGAACAATAACACATGCCTCGGGATCCCCGATTGCCTCCAGCTTCACACAACCTGTGATGTCGTCCACGCCGAGCTCCTTCCATGGCTTTATATAAACCACCTCGTGCAACGGAGAGCCAGGCCCGTCCCTGGCCTTGCGTGCTTGCATCAGCAAGAGCACCTGGCCATAGCTTCCACCACGCGCCTCGGACCCATATGCCACGAACGAGAACACAGTTGTGCCGTGGTGCGATGGTGCTGCCCGTGCATACTTGGCCGACGCCTCGCCTGTGCGCACATCTGGTGCTGGCAAGGCAACAGCACGGTGTATCTGTGGTGGGCGACATCCACAAAGACACAGCACGGAATGGGGGGAGGAGACCAGGGGTTGCGGGGTTTACTGATAACCTGTCTGGTTAGTAGCATGGGGTGATGCATGTGGCAGAAGATGCGACGTTGTGAGTCCGTGATGGTGACTGCGTAAACCAGGGCAGATGCGGACTAGAGGTTTAGGGAGTGGGGAGAGATCTACAGTGCCGCTCTGTGCTCTCTGTGACAAGTTAGGGGATGCCAATGGTGCAGGGATGGGTTCAGCAGTATAGTACAGGGTGTCAAGCCAACACCCCTCTGCTCTAGCCTGTGCAACCTCGCATCACTCTCTTCAGTTCATATCTGAGAACATGCGATTCATGCCCGCCATCCAACTCCCACTCACCCTTCCATGCTTAGCCCCCACACTCCACCACACTCACCCTTCTACCTCTGTACCCCACCCCATCACACTCACCCTTCTATCTCCGTCCCCCACCCCACCACACTTACCCTTCTACCTCTGTCCCCCTCTCCACCACACTTACCCTTCTACCTCTGTCCCCCTCTCCACCACACTCACCCTTCCACCCCTGTCCCCCACCCCACCACACTCACCCTTCCACCCCTGTCCCCCACCCTATGACACTCTCCCTTCCACCCCTATCCCCCACTCCACCACACTCACCCTTGTACCTCTGACCTCCACACCACCACACTCACGCTTCCACCTCAGTCCCCCAAATCCCTGACACCCACCCTTCCACCTCTGCCCCCCCACTCCACCACACTCATCCTTCCACCTCTGCCCCCCCACTCCACCACACTCACCCTTCCACCTCTGTCCCCCACCTAAGACCCTCACCCTTCTCCCTATGTGCCCCACGCCATCACTCTCACCCTTTCACCTCCGTCCCCCACTCCACCACACAAACCCTTCCATGAATGTCCCCCACCTCAAGGGTCTAACCCTTCCACCACTGCCCCCCACTCCACCACCACACTCACCCTTCCACCTGTTGTCCCCCACCCCTCCTCACCTACCCGCTCTGTCTCCACACTCTACTGTCCCCTCCCCACCATCACCCATGCACCTATGCGTGCGAGTTCATACCATAGTTTCTGCGCTGCAGTAACCATGGCGGCGCATGACTGCCTGAAACCCGCGGAGCTTGCCCCCAGTGGCATTGTTGTACTGCTCGAAAACAGATCCCGCTTGTGGAGCAGGGGCAGCCGCAACACGCATCACCGCCGCAGTGCTCGTGAGTGCCGGCCTTCCACTGGTGCGGGCCTGCAACAGCAATTTCATGTCTCAAGTAAGCGAATGCAGGGACACGGGTGGTGTGCGTGCCGTGCCACAATACAAATATAGTGCACAAAGTAACAGCGAAAATGCGAATGGTACTCCAGGCTTACATACCCGCTTAGCAGCGGTGTTGTACACCCGGGCTTCGTCATGGAAGGCTTCAGGCAGCCGTTGCATGGCACTGCGCGTTGACGCCCCTTGCAGGATTGCGGACTCAAAGTCCCGCTTGTTGGAGCCTCTGTACGGCTGCTTGCATGCACTGATGTGCGCGTTCTCGAAGGTGGCAGCGGAATACTCACGCGGGTGCCCCCCCCGCCGAATAGCCTCCGGGAGATGGCTCAGGCCATGAATCTTTATCAGATTCCAGCCATCACCATCCCTGGGGAAATGAGTCATCAGCAGTCGCACCAGTCTGCGCATGCAACAGGACCGGTAGGGAGTAGGTATGGGTGTAGGGTGGTCTTACACATCAGTGGACATGACACGCAGTATGCATAGAGCTGCATGCTATGGTAAAAGGGTGACTTACTCGGTTGTATCCGTATCCATCTGCTCGAGGGAAGCCTTGGTGTAGGACTCAGCTCGTATGTGGTTCTGGTGCCAGTCCGCAAAGAAGACCACTGCCTTGAGACGTGTTGGTGCCATTTTCCCCTCGAATAGGAAGGGGAGAACCTGACGTGGGAGAAGCATTGCCACACATTCAACCATATCGAGCGAACAAGTCAGGCACAGTAGTGGGCATCCGGCACTGCAAGCGGTGGTGGTAGGTGAGTGCCTGCTGCTGGCGGCACTGCAAGCGGGGCTCTGTGTGAGTACATGCTGCGCACTTAGGGCAGTGCAAGCGGTTTAGGGTGTGAGAGTATGCTGCTGGCGGCTCGCAAGCGGGGCTCTGTGTGAGTGTATGCTGCGCAAATAGGGCAGGGCAAGCGGTGCACAGTGTGAGAGTATGCCTCTGCCAGTACTGCAAGCGGGCTTCTGTGTGAGGGTGTGCTGCTAGTGGCACTGCAAGCGGTGCTCTGTGTGAGGGTGTGCTGCTGGTGGCACTGCAAGCGGTGCTCTGTGTGAGGGTGTGCTGCTGGTGGCACTGCAAGCGGTGCTCTGTGTGAGGGTGTGCTGCTGGATTGTACTGCAAGCGGGGTACTCACCGTTAGCATAGCAGCATGCTCGGCTGCTGAGTAGTAAGAACTCTTCGAGAAGTAGAGCCCCGTCGGAAGCGGCACCCCAGCAAGTGTGGTGTCGTCGTGGATGTCCCCAAGCCGGCTGCCATGAAAGGACCACCACAACTCCCGGTAAGAGCGTCTATCATGCAGTTCAGAACCATACATTTGTCATTCAGCGAACCCATGGACTACCCCACAAACCAAGGACTCACTCGTCCAGAGCTTCGGCATTCGAGTCGCTTCCCTTAGCCACCTGGACAAATCTGGCAAGAACACCTCCATACAGCACGTGTAGTAGGTCTGGTTTCTGGGCTTGATACGTGTTTCCCCAATCGGTTGCCGCGTGATGAAATCTCCACAAGAATGTCTGCAACGTATACGGATTGAGGGTTACACTTCCGGAATCTCTGCGTTACTGACATCTGACCATTGAGCGTTAGAATGAAAGCCTCACGGTGAGAGTGCATGGCGCTGGTGGCAGTGCAAGTGGTGCTGTGTGAGAGAGAGTGCATGGCGCTGGTGGCAGTGCAAGTGGTGCTGTGTGAGAGAGAGTGCATGCTGCTGGTGGCAGTGCAAGTGGTGCTGTGTGAGAGAGAGTGCATGGCGCTGGTGGCAGTGCAAGTGGTGCTGTGTGAGAGAGAGTGCATGCCGCTGGTGGCAGTGCAAGTGGTGCTGTGTGAGAGAGAGTGCATGGCGCTGGTGGCAGTGCAAGTGGTGCTGTGTGAGAGAGAGTGCATGGCGCTGGTGGCAGTGCAAGTGGTGCTGTGTGAGAGAGAGTGCATGGCGCTGGTGGCAGTGCAAGTGGTGCTGTGTGAGAGAGAGTGCATGGCGCTGGTGGCAGTGCAAGTGGTGCTGTGTGAGAGAGAGTGCATGCCGCTGGTGGCAGTGCAAGTGGTGCTGTGTGAGAGAGAGTGCATGGCGCTGGTGGCAGTGCAAGTGGTGCTGTGTGAGAGAGAGTGCATGGCGCTGGTGGCAGTGCAAGTGGTGCTGTGTGAGAGAGAGTGCATGCCGCTGGTGGCAGTGCAAGTGGTGCTGTGTGAGAGAGAGTGCATGCCGCTGGTTGAACTTACGTCGGGGGTGAGAACTCGGTGCACTTACGTCAATTGGGTGCGTCGACTACTTTTTCAACTCCTCCGAGTTGTTCTGGATTCCTCGTTGGGCATTCACTGTTCGCCGGTCCTTTAGACCATCCCGGATGACCCACAGGTACTCCTTCCCGACATAACACACCGAGCACGGCTTGTCGGACCCGAGCTCCCGCGTGCATGAGACCTTGCTTATTTCAGGGTAGTCCCCCACGTACGCGTAAAGCATCGGATACACTGTGTGCACATTCCCTAACGGGTCAGTAAGTGTCATGCCCCTGCATAAGACACAAACAACGCGGATCCAGTCAAGCACCATGACAAAAAACCAGAGTCGTTCCTGACTGACGGCAATGAGGCCTGCTATTCATCCGTCTGTGAAGCCCTTTGGGAGAACACTTACCACTCTGACACTTGGAAGATGTCATGTAACACGGTTGCCATCGCCTTTTGAAACAACTGCACCTTCTGGAATGGACTCATTTTGCTGTCTGGCATAGGGAGCAACGCCAGCAACACCTTTCCCGATTCACGCCAGCGCAGTGAGTACGGGATGTTGGCGACGGACAGGTAAACAGGCCACACTTTTGTACGCCCGTGCCCGCTGAGCGTTGTGACGTCGGACGCCAGGATGATGGGGCATATGAGCTCCCCGTTCTTCAGCAGGCTCTGAACGTAGCACAAGGATATGGGGTTAATGCAGAAGGAGAGTGAGTGAGAGGGCGCTGGTGGTGTGTAGTCCACGTCATGGGTGGTTGATGTGGCGAATACTTCACTCGCAATCCCTGTATGGTCCAGGGGGGGCATGCGCATAGTGCAGAGGGGGAGTGCAAAGGTGCGCGCTGGAGATGTGTAGTCCGGCCCTGAGTGGTTGATGGTTCGCTTCCAACCTCAGAATCACATGCTCCAGTATTCTTCAAGTGGTTGATAGGCAGGACTGAGGGAGGGTTGGAAAGAGGGCGCTGGTGTTGTGTAGTCCACGCCCGACAGGTTGTTGCCGTGCCTACAATCTCGGAAACCCACGCTCCAGTAATCAGTTGGTGCCGCGTGCCTTCGAGCTCGGAATCCCATGCCTTGGTATTCTGGGGGGGGGGGGGGGAGGGGACGAGGGTAGGACAGGGAGAGAGAGTTCCGGCGAGGGCGCTGGTGGTGTGTGGTCCATTCTCTGAGTGGTTGTTGCCGCGCCTCCAAGCTCACATATCCATGCTGCAGTTTTCTGGGTGGTATGAGGGTAGGACAGAGGGAGAGTGGGGGAGAGGGCACTGGTGGTGTGTATTCCATGCCTTGAGTGGTTGTTGCCACGCCTCCCAGTTCATAATCCCACGCTCTGTGGTCCGGGGGGGGAATGTGCATGGTTTAGAGGGAGCGAGCGGGAGTGCACCAGTCATGCGGAACCTAGCCAGAGTGGGTAGCACGGCTCCTACCAGCCAAGCGGCGGTATGCTCTATGGTTGAGGTGGGTAAGCGAATTGGGCAGAGGGGGGTCGAGCGAGGGCGCCGGAATGTTTTGGCGCCTCACACCTCTGGTGCCATGTCTCAGAGTGTCTGCATGGGGGAGGGGCACAGGGCAGAGTTAGAGAGCCCACGTTCTGAGAGTTTGATGTGTTACGCACCTCCTGCCCGTTGTCACAGTGCCGCGTGTGACAGTGCCATGCTATATGCGGTGCGGAATGTGGGCCTCTGATGGTGCAGAGAATTAATGCTGGTTAAGGACACGCGTGCCGTGATACATTCGTACCTGCGCCATTCCCCACATGGTGCCCGTTTTCGGGTCCACGTATTTGTGCCCGGGACCATAAGGTGGTGGAGGTCCTTCCGGACGAAGCACGAAACCTTCAGCATTGTCCGGATTTCTCCAGAGCTCGTCAATTGCCTGCACAGAGAATCACACGGCGTCACGGATCCTGAACATTGATAGAAAGGAAAGCAAGGCACGGACAATGACAAGCTTGCTGTCGACTTACCGCGCAAATATTGGTGTGCTGCACGGTGAAGGGGGTCGGCCAATCTGGCACCGTGATCGTAGATGTGCTGTATTTGCGTGAACCCATAAGTAATCTGAGGCCGTATCGTTCTATGGCACGCTTTGAGCGCCAATGTCGGACGGCTGCTAGGTTGAGACCCCGCGCCCCAAGTATCCTCATCAGCAGCGCGGTGTCCGCAGCGAGCATGCCGCGCCCGTTGTTCGCGCCCATAACCAGGCGCCATATAGCAAACTCGGTGTCGAAAGGCACCCGGGCACGGCGGTGATCCCTCAAGGGATCACGTTCGGCGGCAGATTCCGCACTGTCGTTGCTCGATCTAGCGCCTGAGGCTGTATCTCCTGTCGTCGCGGGTGCCACGCCAGTGCCAACGTCCAGCTGGAGTGCTGGTACGTTCTCCGAAGCAGGAGGCGTGGCGGCGGGTTGAGCTGTTGGCTGCTCGTCACGGTTTCCTCGAAATGCCTCAAATGGATCTGGGACGGCTCCGCTGGCATTGCCTGACCGGCCACTCGTTGGCGCTCAGCTATACACGGCGGGTTCGTCCGCTCGTGAGTCTCTCGTTCCATGTATGCTGCGAATGTGCGGTCGCAGTATCCGCACGACCATCGTTGGGCTCGTATCGTTCCATCGTCCATGATACTGTGGCCAGCATCTGCACGTCAATTTGTTGACACGAACTGTGACAAACATTCCAATGACTCTATACATGTTCCTCTGCCCTCCACGGTATGACTGATCCATCACCATCACCGTCGTCCCGCCAAAACCTAGATCAGAGCCTAGCTTTCGGAAATGTGATGCGCAAACCCGGCGCTAAACACGCGAGCCCATGGGTTTGACCGATCTCCCTCCAATACGCCGCTAGCGCATAAATCGGAGCTGGCACGATGTCTCTACCTAACGAGTCGCCATCAGCGCCAACGAAATAATATGTACGCGTCCAATTCGGACACCTTCGGTGATTGATGCCCGGCATCACCCGCTAACCACGGCCTGACTACGCATTCAACGGAGTAGCTAGCGCTAGATGGGATTCTTTGGTGTGATCTGGTCCTGCCAGGCTAGGCGTGAGGCACAAATGGGACTTACGTCGCGGGGAGTTTTATCAGGGCATGCAATTCAGCGGGCTGCGACGAGAATGGGTTGATACAGTCTGCCTCGTGGTTCACTGTGATAATTTCTCGTTTTAGAACAACCAACAAGCACGAACACCAAGTCTGCTGCTAGCGAATTTGATAACTACCCTTCCCGACCATTCCAGCGTGTTCTCCAACCGCTTTACACCGTGGAACATATTCCGATAACCACTCACACCCAGTGACACGATGAATGAGTGGCTCATAGGCAGTAACCCGATAACGCCAGTGGTGTGCGAAAGTAGGGTTTCTTCGCGCTCCTGTGTCGTGCGAATACGGTGAATCACATCCAAACAGAATACTGTGGTTTCCGACAAGGATTTGGCATGGTGTGTCAAAACTCACCTGACCCTCGCATAGTACAATCCGCTTCTGTCACTATATCTGCGCTTTGGTACTACAAAGGTGCCACGCGTCAAATGTAGTTGATGTATGTTCAGCTTGCTGTAAGTTTCTTCTCGACAGTCTGTGACGTTCGAGACATCACTGTTTTGTGACTCGTTATAATTTCCCATCCAAAATGTGTGATGTGTGGAACATGCGCTTCGTCACAGATGTGCACCAACCGCGACTCGGGATTTCTTCCCGATGTTCTGCTCCCTGTAAAAAGGGACCTAGCAAGATATAACCAGCCACACCATCCATTCTTCAGTGCATTATTGCAAGTCGCTACCACCTGTGTTCAGCAGCACACCGTCGCCTCATTCCATGGCGACGGAGAGAACCTACTCCGGAAAATGCACGGTGGAGACTCTCATGAGGCTCCAACAGGTTGTGTGCTTCGCTGCTATGCAGGTCGTTTTCACGGAATGGCATTTCCTGGAGGAACAGCCAACTCCCAAGGGCCTTGTTGACGGGATCAAGCATCTCGCGTTTTCGGGACGGTGCAGTGCGCGTCGCAAACGGGAGAAGTCGATGTCCGAGTACCGTGCGATTCGGCGGATGCGCGACACCACCAGCATAGAGTGGTTCGAGCACATGTTGATCAAGGCGGCTTTCAACGACCATAACGACGGTGTGGAGTTCCAACGAGAGTGCTCCCTGTTTATTGAGGCCATTCAAAGACCACACGAAGATCAACACATTGGCTGAAGGATGGCCGGAGCTCATGCGCCCTCGGGCCAAGATTGACTACCACGATTATCTGATGGAATGGGCCCACGCCATGGGCTTCGTGGTGAGTGCGTAACAAAACCGTTTCTTGACTCACATCCTATCCTTACGTCTATTGCGCAGGTTCAAGGCGGCCCATACGATCATCTGTACGCTGCTGACGTCCGAGTTCTGTTTGGGCAGAACGGGAGGCCTCTTCCCGAGGCTCTAATAGTTCCGGATCGTCGAGGGTGGGTTGGCGGACCTAACGGCATTTCCGTGAGCAACCTCTCCCACGCTCTCGGCATGCTCGCCTGGTGGGAGAAGCAACCCGCAATTCTCGGTTGCGAGTACCGCCAGGTCGACAAGAACGGTCGGGCCTGGCGTGTAAGGAACAAGGCTGAAGCGGCTCACCTCGCCAAGCTCATTCCCACGATCCCTCGCCTCGTTAGGCAGAGCTACACCCCTCCCGGTTACTACAGCGCTGGATTCCCGGACGAGGATGATGCCGCTGATGGTTCTGAGGGCGACGATGACGACACCACGCAGAGTGGCGATGCAAGCGACAGTGATGCCGAGCGTGAAGGGCTCGTGTTTTAATGGATGGCCGTTTACGTCCTGAGGGAGAGTTGACTCACAGCGTGGTACTTTTTCTTTCTGGTTGGGTGTGCGGTAGCGCTGATGCCTCTCTTTCCTGTAGTAGCATCTCTATTTATCATGCGTATCAGGCAAAACATGGTTGTAGTTGCTCTTATCGTTATCTGTGTGCGTCACAAAGAATTGGAGCACCCAAAAACGCTGGAAGGGCTACTATGCCTAGGTATGCTAAAAAAAAGTATGTACGAAGTTGCCGCAAGGAATGCTCGATGAAACCCTAGAACACAACGAGTACATCTGGCACACTGTAAGGATTGTACAGGTTTGCAACCCCTTTCCCAAACCGCGAGAAAACGACTACCGAATGCACCAGTTACCGTGCGAAGGTGAATTCATGTTACTGTTTTCGTCGCAGCTGAAACTGTTATGCAAAATTTGTGACCTCGACTAACGTGTACACCACAATAGCGTGGGGTACCGATCTGAACCTATATGCAGCCACTCAGTAGCGGGTAACCTTATCAAAGGACTCTGACACGTCATTGCGAACCCACCCTCAGACGCGATGCTTTTTTCCAGCGCATATGAAGCACGTGTGCTGGAACTTCGTGACTAGCAACCCTGAGCAACAGTAACCACTTCGATCACACCTCGTCGATTCGCCAGCCTCTCAGATAGCCCCATTCGTGCTATGCTGGCACAGCTGGCAACATAATCGAGACCTGCGACTCTGGGGAGGGAAGGGAAAGGGTGACCTTGAGCTTCAAAGGTGCCCATTTCCAAGCATCGCGTTCAATTGTGCTTCACTGATGCATTCCCTTCCCAAACTCGTACCTTCATATCCTTCTGCTCCTTCGAATCTCTTCGAGCCACGTTACTCACCACCCCGCCCATTCCTCTATTCCCTTTTCCACGACGCCCCCTCTAGCAGATCACTCTGTCCGTCCGCTTTTGGCGCACGAGGCGGCACACAAACAGCGTTTCGCGTTTCGCGATGGCCAGGTTCGTTTCTTCAGCTGAACATGTAAGTATTGCTGCAGGTTCGTTTCTTCAGCTCGTCGGGCTGCTTGTTTGCGCCCAACTGATGCGTGGCAGCACTCTTTCGCCAATGTTTTTGTTGCGCAGGTCTAATTTCCGAACTTCATATAAGCATGGCCCATTCTGGGATTTCGAGAAGATCGTATGCAGTTTCTGCCGCGTTTGCCGAATCGCATCTCCGAAGACGGTGTGAAGGGCACATCGCCCACTCTGCCTGAGGTCGCTGCGGTTCCCATCCCATTCCGCCGGTTACACCTCGCTAGAGGACAACACGTTTGGCTGCGCTGAAGGATAACTGTCACTTCGCACATTTAGCCGCCAATCTGTCCCATCCATGCCTATGAAATGTCGTACACACTTTGATGTGCCCTTGCTGTGCGACAGGTTGAACTTGCCTCTGTTTCAATTACCGCTCATGCATGCTTATGTTTTGTCTAGCGCTCAAAATCGCCTATGTTCCAAACCTGTGCATTTTTTAACCTAAGAAACCACTCAGCAATGTATCACGCTGTTGTACCTAATCGTTGAATCGATGTTGTACAGTTTTGTTGTGCTCACGGTGTATGTTGGTCTAATCTACAGACACAGCACCCTAAAATTCATATCGATTAATGCGGTGGTTACCCGGTTTACACGATTTGTTACAACCCATACCTCGTTATTGCCCCTCTTTTTATAGCCAGTTTACATTTTTAGGTGTGCACGGAACATTGGTTATCGGAAAACGGTACCCACCGTAAAGGGGACAATGAATGTCTCGAGAGTGCTAAAACAATCTCTAGGGTTTGTCCCAGAGGGATGCTGGCGCAGTCTCCCAACACTCCCGCCCCCTCTCCACGCATTGTTCATAATAATGTTAGTTGTATGTTGCCCAGAGGTACTTCAGACAGTCCCTTTGCAATGTATGTACATTGTTTTCGCCGCGATTTTTTTGTGACGTGGGTGCTATCATGATGTGACATCTCGGCAACATTCGCTGCTCCGTATTAATCTCACGGCGATCTTTATGCTGCGTCTATTAATTGTTACATTTTGTGAGTGAAACGTGAAAAACAATACGATGGGGATGTATGTAAAACAGGGCAATACATAGTCGTGACGCCGGCGCAACGACAAGATATCCGCTTCGCGCCGCACCCATCATAACTTAGCCACTGCGGCGATTATGGGTACTGCATAAAGGTCGACCTTTAGATGAAGGCGCTCCCCGTGTTTTATCAGCGCCAAGTCGCAATATTAGCCACACACGAGTCGGACCACGTATCCGTCGATTGAGAGGCGTGCCAAAATCTATGTGGCATACACCTGGCGGATAACGTAAGCCAATCCGACACACGTGGCATGGTTGTACTCGGCTTCACTTGTAGGTTCGGTGTGTCGTCAGATTGACAAGGTACCCTCCGATTTTAACGTGAGCGTGGTTGGTATCCATCACGATGCAGACAACGGTGCCTTGCATTGTAGTTAAAATACCTGAATGTAGAGTGAGGGTCTGTTCAGGCGCATCGCTTTAGGCCCTCGCAACCTCCGTTTTCTTCAGGGCAACCCTTGCGCCAACTTGGCGACAGCGCAATCAGCTATGTACCCCTACGGACACCCGGGCTACGTCGTCGTGCCCGGGGCTGGCATGGAAGAAACGTTCGCTGGGCGACCCACAAGGTCGACCCAAGGCGTCCATTCTCAATGGTCGCGCGATGACTACGACTTATCTGGCGGCATCATCTACGTCGGTGTTCCAGGGCAACCGTTCAACCCGGGCCAGCAACTAACCGCGGCTCTGCCAACGTCAGGCACTGTGCGCAACCTGCCTATGCGCGCCCAGCGCCAAGTGCGCTCGCGCCTCTCGTCCCCACAGCCCGCTCCGACCGAGCACGTCGCAGACGCTCAGCATGGTGTGTAAATGCAAATAATGCAATCCTATATCATCTCGTCGCATGGCATGCGTACGACATGCTTCCTATACGCACTAACGCTGCTACTCGCACATGTGCTGCTGCAGGTAATCCGCCACGAACGCGCTCGTTGACGGAGCTAGTGGCGAATACCCTGCCACCCAACTCCCTCCCAACTACGAGGGAGGGAGGGGTCCGCCAGGAGCGCAACCTGCAGGCGCTTCTGACCAGCGCGACACCGACGGTGCGGTCGAGCATGGATGGGCCGGGGAGCCCATGCCTCAGGATCTGGGGGCAGCCCTTGAACTCATCCGTCGTCAGGAACGTGAAAAGGCGCGCCTGGAGAACCAGCTGCGAGAATACGAGGCCAGGCGACGGTGGGCAACGCAAGCTCCCCAAGCTGGGGAGGCTGCACCGATGGACCGTGGCGCGTATGCGTCGCATGGTGCAGGAACTCCTGCTGCAACGCATGCTGCACAGGATACCCGCCCCATGTCCCTGGCCGCGGTGCGGGCGATAGCGGCGGAGTGTCGTGTGAGGGGGACGCCCTCGATTCTGGACAGCCTCACACCCGCACAGCTGACATGGGCGCAGCGACTCATCCGCGCAATGTCGCAAATCCCCGACATGCACGATGGCTGGCAGGTGTGTTGAGGTGGTTGTATATCACCCCCCCCCAGCCCAACCCTTCTTTGCTTCCCCCTCTCACCTCTCTGTTTTACCCCACTGTCCCTCTCTCCCAAGCCTCTTTGCCTTGTTTTCACTCCTCAGGGTGGCACGGTCCGAGCACAGGCATGAAGGAGTGGGGCAGGAGCTATGTATTGTGTCTTCGCAAGCCCTCCCCACTGGCCCATGCACCCATAACCGTGCTTCCCCCTCTCACCTCTCTGTTTTACCCCACTGTCCCTCTCTCCCAAGCATCTTTGCCTTGTTTTCACTCCTCAGGGTGGCACGGTCCGAGCACAGGCATGAAGGAGTGGGGCAGGAGCTATGTATTGTGTCTTCGCAAGCCCTCCCCACTGGCCCATGCACCCATAACCGTGCTTCCCCCTCTCACCTCTCTGTTTTACCCCACTGTCCCTCTCTCCCAAGCCTCTTTGCCTTGTTTTCACTCCTCAGGGTGGCACGGTCCGAGCACAGGCATGAAGGAGTGGGGCAGGAGCTATGTATTGTGTCTTCCCAAGCCCTCCCCACTGGCCCATGCACCCATAACCGTGCTTCCCCCTCTCACCTCTCTGTTTTACCCCACTGTCCCTCTCTCCCAAGCCTCTTTGCCGACTTTTCACTCCTCAGGGTGGCACGGTCCGAGCACAGGCATGAAGGAGTGGGGCAGGAGCTATGTATTGTGTCTTCCCAAGCCCTCCCCACTGGCCCATGCACCCATAACCGTGCTTCCCCCTCTCATTAAGTTTTTTTCCCCCTGTCCATCTCATCCGTGCTACCTAGCCTAGTTTTGCGCTCTCAGTTTGGCACAGTCCGAGGATGCCCAGGAACCCTTGAGGGGATCTGAGCATCCTATGGTGTCTTCCCATGCCCTTCCCAACCCCCCATGCAGTCATGACCTTCGTTCCCACTCTCACCTCTTATTTTTTCCCCCCTGGTCCTCTCATACTTGCTTCCTAGCGTAGTTCTCCCCTCTTTATTTCCCCTCTGGTCCTCTCTTTTTGGCACAGTCCGAGCATACCCAGGGCCTGTGTGAGGAAGCACCATCCTCTGGTGTCTCCACAGAGCCCGTCCCATAAAGGCATGCAATCATAACCATCGTTCCCCATCTCACCCCGCTTGAAGCTGCAACACCTTCGTTGTCCTACCGGCCCCACCTCTCTCCCACACTCACACCCAGGGCGTTGCGGTTGATGTCATCGCAATCGTTATATACGGGACCCCATCGAGGAGGATGAGCATGTGGCCCGACGAGGATTCGGTGGAGCTCGCAATTCTAAAGTCAATTCACCTGTGTGCGGACGATGCTCGAGTCATGGTCCACATGACGCTCCGGAATGATCCAGTCCGCCGCCGTTATTTGACGGACAAGCTGGCCAAATGTCGGGCCAACGTGCTTGACCAGGCACGGACGTGGACATTCCTCTGGTTCGGAGTCCCGTTCAAAGTCCCGAAGCAGTCCCGCGCGCATAAGCCGCACGTTCGTGCTGTCCTGACCATCACCTTCAAGGATTTCAGAGACACTTACGCTGCAGGTATGTAACCCATCAGTCATCCTCGGTGGCCATGAAATGCATGACACATTCCCTCATTACCGTGGTGAGACTTCCCCCCAGTTACCACCAGGCAAGCATGTTGACGTCCCCTCACGTCTTGCTTGTTGTTGCTTGACAGCTTCAATCATGTCGGTTCTGGCCCTTATGCCAGGACATGGCCTGACTGGCATGGGACGTGCACGTGTGCCTCTGCATGCGTTGCTTGGGTTCACCCATGTCCCAATTGCCTCTGCATGCCTTGCTTGGGTCAGGTCATGACCCAATTGCCTCTGCATGCCTTGCTTGGGTCAGGTCATGACCCAATTGCCTCTGCATGAGTTTGTTGGATAAGAACATGTCTGTTCTTTCCTCTACCCTTCCTGTATGTTCTTGCAGACGAGAGCAGCCATGGGAATCTCACGTGGACTCGCGAGCCTCATGTCGGAGGCCTCCCGTTCTCACACCCGGCTTTCGAGACCGGGCTGCACAAGTCATTCTTCAAGGGCAAGCCCATGCCTGTGGTTGTCAAGCTATACCACATTGCTTACTACCTGGCAGGGGTGAGTTGGGGCATGGTGCAACCATCATAGTTATACCGTTCGCATGTTTCTTAATGTTGGTCCTAATGCCATACCTCTGTTTTGGCATTTGCTGTTTCGCATGTGCTCCTAGGTCGAGCACCGTATTATCCATGATGGCGAGGATCTGGAGAACCACGCGGGCCCCAACATCGCTCTTGTCGCCACTTACTTGCGCAAGGTGACAGCGTGGTGCAAGGCGGCGATCATGGCGCCGTCCGTAAATGGTAGCGGGCCGTGGTACGTAGCCGGCCAGAAGGCATGGGCCTTCTCCAGGAACGAGACGATCCTCATCTCGACAGATAGGATCGAAGAGACCGAAGGCATCAACCGTGCACCGCAGCCCGTGGACGCACCCGTGGCTTGAGTGTTCGTTGCCGCGGCATTTAATCAAAGTGATATGTCGTGATGGAACGTTTTGGTACTGCAGGGCAAAGGGATGGTCTTTCACCATTGGTGGGCTGTCGTCCCGATGATGTATGGGGCTTTTTTGTTGCATGTTGACAATCCAGGGGGGAAGGGGAGTTGGTGGTGCTCATAGGGCAACACTTAGGTGCTCACATCTGCTGCTACTCTCACTGGTGCACACGGAGTATATGTCCTCAACCCTGTTGGCTCTGTTATGTGGTTTCTTTGGTTGCTCAGTTATCCTGTATTACACTTTGCCACACATTTTGTGAACTTGTGGTGGGCTTGTGTAACCTACCTTTTTTTGTTGAAAGAATTTCTTGCTGGTTTGATCGATAGATGTACCATATTTGGTACAGTCCCCAACCCTCACGGTCGCGACACACAATGTTGCGAACAAAACTTGATGGGTGACTGCGTGATCTCAGCGACCAATCAACGTTCTCAAATGAAACCTTCGCTGTGAAGCTGGCTCTCAGCTCGAAACAGGTGAGATACGTATAATCCAGTCATTTCGCTCAGCGCATAGCACCTTTCGAGCGCATAGCAGTCATTTCCATAGCACAACAGCTTTCTTCCGGCGACGTAAGGGTTCCCGTTCGGCTAAGGCAACGACTGAAGCTTCTCCGTATGCGGTAGAGTAACATCGCAGCCATGGCTCGAAGGTGGGCGTTATGGCACCGAACGCTCTCATCCTTGACTCACGAAGACGATTAGTGCTATCGTTTAATGTCTGGCTTTGTTACTGAAATCCCCCCTGTCCACGCACCCCGTCGTGTCCATACAAATTCTCTGCCGGCGTGTGCAGACGATGGCACTCCCTGGACCTCCCTCGATTAAGCGCGGCTGAGTGGTTGCGCCTGCTTGATGTCAGGAACGGGCGCACCTCCTTGTGAACGTGCTGCGGGTGCGTATCGCGTACGATCCATTTCGCTCAGCCCTGTTGGTTAAAGGGATTGTATGTATGGTTCAATGCTAATAGAGTCGCTTCACGATTGATTGGTTTCATGCAGCTGGTAACGTTGGCGATAAGCTCCGGTCAACAGTACCTGCTTTCATCCCTGGCGGGATGTTGCCTGCACGCAAAGGCCGAGTGGTGCGACAATTACACGACGCGTGGTAAGGTCCTTTGACCAGAGGGTTTCTCTGTAACCCTTTTTTTTTTTTCAGTCGACGTTGATGCTTACTCCCCGCTGCAGCCTTTTGACAGTTGTTCTCGACGGTGCGTGTTCCTCGGTCGCGTAACAGCATCCGTTGCCGCGAAAGTTGAAGGTGAGATGCTGTGCTGTGACGCCATACGTCTCCTAGTGTCGCCATACGGTGTCAACCGGGGAGGAGGCTGACACGATGCCCGACCGACCAGATGACACGCTAGGCATGGCGAAACATTTTTGGCATTGACAGCTGCCCAGTCATAAGCGCCGCCTCACACGGTACATGTATGTACGAATGGCTGTCGTCGCGTTGCGAACATACGCCCTGGCAGAATGCAGCGCGAATGTACTTTGGAACCCCCTCTGCAATTGAATCATGGTTTCGATATTGACATTGTTTACAAATCCATGGCAGTGTCACAACCGTACTTCTACTGGAATCCAATTCACCACACTCACGCACCTCCTGGCCATCATGCCTTTCGATGTGGCTTGTTGAATTAGGGTACGGAGTTGGGCAAGGGATGAAGACGCTTTGAACTCAAGCCTATTCGTGACTGCCTGGACGATGGCACTCACGTTGCGCAAGCCCTCGCTGTCATTCCTGTTACTCGGACAGTCCTGTCAGGGATGATACCCTCTATTTGCGATGTTTTGTTATGTTCCTGAGACGGGACGTAGTTGCCCCATGCTAAACACTTCTAGGAAGGCACACGTAGTTGTTTGCGAAGTTATGTGGAAACCAGATGCTAGAGCCAGAAGAACAAGCGCAGCTCTATCTGTGGAAACTGGAAGGCCTAACGTGGGTTTCTTCGTGGGAGTGGTGCCAGTAGGTTGACCAAACATAGAGCCCGCCAGCTCGTGAGTCGGGCCGCCACATTTCACGTAGCGATACACCATGGAAATGTAGCCGTCTGTACACTATAAACACGCGACGCATATAAATACCCTTAAACGCTCGTTATAAGAAATGTTCCAGAAACTATATATTATTCATTCGCTCGATATAAGAAATGTAAAAGACACGAATTCGTGTACATAACCTTGCATCCGTAGAGCCAAGATTGGTAACGAGTCGGCCTGCAGCGAATCACACTCGAGTGTGCCTTTATCGACGGCTCGTTTGTATCACAAAACCGTAGCTAAGGAACTGTCGTAAAACATTCACTCAGGTCGACACCTTAGCTCTTACCGAGTCGGCTTATGAGGCCGTGAAGCAGATGGTTCATTTTCAAAGGTATATCGAAATGTATTATTGTGTGCGGAGAGTGTAACTGTGCATGCGCTCCAACGCTTCTCGAACCTTTTACAGCGATCAACGGGGCGACATGTGATTCGCTCCCGCAGGATGGGAGGGGTCCCCTGTGGGTCACCACCTGTTGGTGACCTCGGGGTCACCACGCGAAGTGATGGCGGTCGGGGTTACCCGCGGGTCACCTAGACAAGGACCCCGGGGTTACCCGCTACGGGGTAAGCTGTGGGTAACCTGGGGGGAGGGTTTTGGCCCGATGTTTTTTGGGATGGATGAGGCTACCTGGACTCCAGGCGCCACGTGGAGCCCGCCGACTGGAGGCAAGTGCCGGATAAGTCCCAATAACCAGGGGCGCGGCGAGTGACCCGCTACAGAGTGACTCGCTAATGATATTGACTGTTCGATTCGCGTGCGGCATGGAGAGAAGTGTCGCGAGAGCGGGCGATTGCGAAGAAAGGAGAGGAAGGAGACTTGCGGTGATGGGAGCATGGCGTGAGAAGATAAGTTATCTAGCGTCTGCATTGCATTTCCTAGAATGGATCCTGGTTCGCGTCTTGTCTTGAATCACACACCACCCCAAGGTCAGGCCAACGCAAAGCCAAGCTGAATCTGGGTTCGGATCGGAATCGTTCAACTCCAATGGCTGCCCCAATGACCCATGTTCAAACCCTTGCCGCGCTGCACCACGCTTGTATCTGACTTACCTCAACAAACTGCTTTCAACCTCTCTGAATATCCAATCCTACACCTTGTTCAACCCATTTGTTGCATGCGGAAGGTTGCTGCTAGCTGGACTGCTAGTGGCACGTGATGAGGAAGATATTCACATACATCCAGCTGGACTGCTGCTAGCTGTAGTGGAATGATATGCAGCAGCACTGCCATGAGCCATCGCCCGGGGAGGTCTGATTGTTGGTTGGTGGGGTGGGTTCGCGGGGGGAGGAAGAGAGTTTTGACAGGAGTAGCGGAGAAGAACGGCCTGCAGTTGCTCGAGTTCAGCTGGAGATTGGAGGGAACCTGGCGAACACAAGCTGTCCGACGCCAGCACAGCTTCGATGTGTTGCAACATGGACGGTCGAGATGCTGTCTCCCAGACTGGCGAGTCAGATATTTCCAAGGTCAACGCCCATAGGTCAGCGCTGTCCACAATCCATTCGATGACGGGGCACTGTAATTATACCAGTAGTCGCAGGCAGTAAAGGTTTACACATAGACCGTTAGAAGAGCTTGCCTCACTAAGTGCCATATTTCCCAAATGTACATTCCAAGTGTACCGCTATGCGTATAGTCCTGCCAAGAGTGGGAGCTCATATGCATGGAAGAGTGGGAGTTCATATGCATGGGTTACCGCCCCAGGGCTGACGATATCAGGCTATTTTAGATTGATTGTCTGAGATTTCGTACCCCTTTTCCTAGGTAATCCTGATTTTCCAGAGTTGCCCGAATTCAAATATGAGTACTTCACACTACTCACCCAACGGACAACGAGTTGTCAGATTACAGAGAGTACGAATTCTGACAATTTCCGCAGGGCAGTAAGGTCCCGGTACAGAAGTGCTGGGTGTCGCAGCGCAGCAGCGCTACTGTTACGAATAGTAAATTGAGAAATTACGGTGCACTCCTATCAGTAACAAGCGACGAACACAATGAAAAGTACGAAGACGAAAGGTCAAAGTGACGTGAAGGGTAGCGTACGGTTGCCAGCATCTGCACCGTTGGAGCAGAAGCATCAGGCAGCTGCAGGAGCAGGGATTTTGGCGGGAACAGGTTCGTAACCATCTGGAGTCGCACGGTTGGATTTCGCTGCAATAAGGGAATGTACCCCTTATAGTACATGGCTAGTCTAGATTGTTTCGTGTTCCCCTATACTCTTATCTTAACCTATGTATGTGCTTGTTTTAATCATCTCAATCATTGTAGAATCACTCTGATCTGAGGTCAATTCTTCCGCTGCAACACACTCACCTTCCTCAAGTGATCCTATGCAGAATCAACTTTTTGATCGCAACATGCAAACTATGGAGCAGCTACAAACAGCACTGACTACTGCCCCAGTACTGATCCTACCGGATCCAGAAAGAGACAACGTGGTGGAAGCAAACGCTAGTGACCAGGCAATCGGAGCAGTACCGATGCAGGATCACGGACGCGTTTTGCAGCCCATCGCCTACCTCAGTAAGAAACTACACGGAGAAGAACTGAATGACCCGATCCATGACAAGGAAGCCTTAGCGATGGTCACAGCCTTCAAGGCGTGGAGGTGTTACCTAGAGGGAGCCAAGACTACAGTCTACACTGACCACTGCAGTCTCAAATACCTTAAGTCACAGCGTACGCTCTCACGACGACAGGTGTGGTGGATGGACTTCCTAGAAACCCACTTCCACTACGACATCGTCTACAAGCCAGGGCTACACAACAAGGCAGACGCATTGAGCCACCCTGGACATGAAGCAGGCATCCAGCTCGATGGGATGAACCCTCTGCTCAAGGGTCTATTCCAACATGGATACTCCGTGGACGCAGAGATCGTTACAGCACAGAAACAGAAGCTGTTACAGTGAGAGAAAGACTTAGCGGTAAGGAAAGGTTCAGGAAAGATTTGGGTACCGAAATATGCCCCGCTCTGACAGATCTTACAGGAGGAGTATCACAACGTGGCATACGCGGGACATTTCGGGAGCAACGAGATGTTAACAGGGCTAGCGAAGCATTACTACTGGCCCCGGATGGCAGCAAACGTGCAGCAGTTCGTCACCTCATGCAACACGTGCCAGCGGATGAAGAGTAGCAAGCAAAAAAAAGCTGGGTTACTTCAGCTTCTACCCGTACTGGAGCAGCCATGGCAAGTCGTCAGCCTAGACTTCATCACCGGGCTTCCTTTGACCTCACGAGGGCATGACGCTATACTCGTGGTGATCAACAAGTTCTCTAAAATGGGACACTTCATCCCGACCAATGCCACGGCTACAGCTGAAGCAACTTCTCACCTCTTCTTTGACCGCATCATCACCATCCACGGCAACCCCGCTACACTTATCTCGGACAGGGACCAAAGTTCACTAGTGATTTCTGGAGGGAACTCATGGGTTTGTTGGGGCCAAAGCTTGCAATGTCTTCAGCGTACCACCCCCAGACTGATGGACAGACTGAGCGACTCAATAAGGTATTTGAACAGTTACTGCGCACAGCTTGCAAAGACGACACCAGCCACTGGGAACTACAGTTACCGACGCTTGAGTTCGCTTACAACAACGCTTCACATGCGGCCACAGGGAAATCTCCTTTCTTCCTGTGTTACGGACGGGAACCACTTACACCACAGTAGCCAACCACATTGGCACACGTCCAAACCGCACACGACTTCGTCACCACCATGCAGCAGCTATGGGAGAAGACTCAGCGACGTCTCACCACGATGCAAAACTCTCAGAAGCAGTTTGCCGATCGACAGCGACGTGATCACTCCGTAGCAGTCGGAGATCAGGTACTTCTTGACACACGCAACTTGGACTTGTCTCATCTTCCGTCCAAGCTCCGGCATCGCTTCTGTGGTCCCTTTCGCGTTGAGGCGATGGTGACTCCAGTTACATTCCGCTTGCAATTACCTTCTACGTGGAAGCTTCACAATGCTTTCCATGTTCGGCTGCTGAAGCCCTACAAGGACCCCAACCAACAGTTCATGGGACGACAGCTACCGCCACCACCACCTGTTTTTGTACAGGATGAACCAGAGTACGAGGTGGAACGAGTTCTCGCTCATGGACGCAGGCACGGCAACACGCTCGAGTTCCTGATACGCTAGGAATATGACCCATCGGAGGACAGTTCGGTTGCAGAAGCTGATATGGGCAACGCACGCTGTG